TGCCAGGCGGAAGGCTGCAGACAGTGGCACCCGCGCAGCGAATTTCGGCCAAAGAACCGGCTGAAGTTCGAAGTGTGGGATATCCAGCTTATGTACGGATATTGTGCACACTGCAAACCAAGGCTCAAAGTGTAAGGCTTCTGACTACAATACCTGAGCAACTGAATACGGATATTTTTCTTTTAGCAATAGAGGATTCCCTAGCAAAAAAAAAAATCAGTGATCTACTAAGGCGCTCCAGGATACACCAACTCTGCTATTATCAGAAATACTCCTGTGCTGTATTTCTTTATTATCTCTTTCCAAAAACGACAATTGCATGCAATGTTTCCCACAAACATTAGTGAGGATGGATCAGTGATGGGTGCACAGAGATGCATACACCTATATACTGCATATGCGGAAACACAGGCTCCGAATTAAGCATTTGATATTACACTAGGTTAAAGGCAGGCCAAGGATTTGACATTGCAGAGCAGAGAGGTGACATTACACCATGCCAGGACGGAAAACCAAGTACTGGGGCAGGTAGGCAATGCCCCGTGTAAGTTTACCCTTGCTACAAGTTTTCAGACGTTACTGGATTGTACTTATATGATGGGCAGTCTACAAACCTCTCAACGTAACCAATAAAGTCCCAGGTTAGCGGTTTGATCAGTTTTGTTTTGCAGGTTGGAAAACATACACTGAAATCGCTATGGAAACACAGCTTTTGTTATGCTCTGGGTCTTTGTAGCAACCGTTGCAAACAATGCTCAGCATACAATACTGAAGGGAAATGTGTCATGCTCATACACAAATGAATGCTGAATGTCAAGCAAAAAAAAAAAAAAAAAAGAAGGTTTGTATGGCGTAAACAATCCTTAATACTTATATATGTTTTTTGGTTTTGTAATAACTTCCTGTAGTTTCTCCTCAGACTGGGAGAGGAAAAGTCAGCACTAATAGGGCATTTGCACACATCAGTCAGTCTGAAGCAGCCCAAGAGAAAATGAGATGATAGTTGTATGTTCTGGCTGTTTTCTGCTGGACTGGGCAATGGCCTCATGTATACAGCGACATCAACTGGGCAGGTTGAAAAACCAGTCCTGGGTGATCATTAAGGTTCTCATGTGAAATAAGAGGTACTGGCTGTGTCTGCCTGCACCACCCACCTCCTCTTCTTTGCAGTAACATAAATAGAAGTGTGACGCCCTTTGTAAGCATATGCAGTGCTTGTGAGAATTCCCACCCTGAGGGCAGGGAGATCAAATCTGCACTTTTGACTGGTTTATAATGGCAAACAGTATGTGACGAAGCGCCAGCGGCTTACGTCCAAACAAGGAGAAAATCTGCAGTGATCTTAGTATGCACCGTGAATGAGGCAGGCTCTCAAAAAGGCTTTAGGGAAACCTCAATTCTGGAAAAACAAAAAACAGAGCGCCTCCATCGCGTAAAAACATTTTAATAAAATGATTTAAACAGATAAAAAACATACTCGCAAGGATTGAGTTTAAAAAGGCATGAAACCGAGGTCCAGATACAGATACAACATTATCGTCTTTAGTTCATGAATGCAATCCTTGCTACTAACCCTTTGTGACATTACAGTATAACTATCTTGTAGTTTGTCAGGAAACTTTTTAGTCTCTGTTTTAACGACGTTTTTATCACTAATTACTCAATTGTTTTATTTAAAGTATTTCTGGGTCCTTTCACTTTCTATTTAATTTCATACAGATCCCCCCCTCTTTCTATAGATTTCCTATATGTATTTTCTTTGTATTTTAACCAGTCCAGCAGGATGTACTTTTCTACAAACCATTCCTGTCATGTAGTGCCATTCTATGTAGCTGTGTCTAGCTTAGACAGAATCTCCCGGCATATATCCACGATCTCTTTACGTACTATCATTAGGATACAAATTCACGATTACTTAATTCTATACATCCTTTTTTAAATTGATTATCTGCTAGTTTTATACATAGCCTTAATCAGTTTGATTCCACGCTAAGATATATATTAAGTATGCATGGTTTCTGCAGGTGTTTTTATTTGCATCCTTATTTATATTTGTATCTCATTTTGATCATGTTACCACCTAAATTCGTTCTATGCATATATGGCCATATTTTTTTCTGTTACATACACAGTAATAAGTGACAAATATACATCAGATATTCCATAAAACGACTTCTGCTAAAGCGGGAACATCTTTTTCAAATCCCTGCGACCCCAGGTGATTTGTAATTGTAAGCCTGAGTTGAGCCACGCTTTAAAAGGGAGTCAATAGAACACTCCCTATCGGTTCCGACGAAGGAGGCGTGACCTCAGAAACGTTAACCATCAGGGAGGAAGAGTCGCCGGTGGGCTAAGCCTTTCATGCTTTTACCGTTTCATGCCTTTTTAAACTCAATCCTTTTATTAAAATGTTTTTACGCGATGGAGGCGCTCTCTGTGTTTTTCGGTTTATAATGGGTATAGGCAGTCCAACCTGAACATGCTAATAGAAAGAGGATAAGCATGACCATCTGTGTTACCCTTGTCCTGCACAATCCATTCAAGAAGCCAAGGGCAAGTCCTTAGAGGAGAAGTACTGCGAGAGTAAAACGTACTTTCCCTATACTTTGACAGTCATCAGTGGTGTCACATGCTGGCTCTGTCACCACTCCCCACAGGGATTGCCCCCTCCGTCCAGCACTCATTGGAGGGACAGACATGGGAGGGGGCGGGCACAGCTGGCTCTAGTGAGGCAGAACCAGCTGTCAATTATGCAGCAGAGTCGCGCAACAATATTGTCAGGATCCTTCTTGGCTGCAGCACAGCTCTGCCCTGTCAGCAAATAGAGGGCAGTAGCTTGCTAGATGCTGACTTTGGGTCACAGGACTACATTAGTAAATGTACTCCTTGGACCCAAAAGAAGAATTAAGGCAAAAAAATAGGTTTGGCTTTAGTTCTCTTTTTAGTTATACTAATTCACAAAGCTCTGGTGATGTTGTCTGACAGGAGTGACCGGATCAAAAAGCTAACTGAACAAAACAAACATTTTGGCAGAAGAGCCATTTGACATTTCTTTCTGATGGACTCCAGGCAGATAGAAGAAAACACCTTAAAGTATTGATAAAAAACAATCACTAAATTCTGCAAGTGTACAGCACCTGGATCTAGCCAGATACTAGCACCTTAGATTCTGGGCAAAGGAGGAGCAGAACCTGGAGCTACAACACCCTGCTACACTTAACATGTGCAGTCAAAGAATATGCCAATGGCATAACGAAGTTTGTTGCTTCTCCTTCACTGGTTAATTACAAAGTGAGAAGACAGGGGTGTAGACTCTCCTTCGCTGTCCAATCACAGGCTAAGGAAATAGGGAGACCTGTGCTCCCTTACTTTAGAAAGTCAGACCAATCTGGTTCTGCTTTGTGTGTAAATCTCCGGACTGGAGGGACACCCCATACAGATGCTTTTAGCAGGTAAATCAACTCACATAGAAGGGAATCAACTGTGTACCAACTTGTCAGGATTCTGCTTTAACATGTATTTCCACTTTGGCAGCCAAATAGCACCCACTTTAAATTTGTTACATGTTCCCATTCACATAGCATAACTTTAAACAATAAAAAAAAAAAAAAATGCTACTAACTGTTTTTAGACTCTTTTCTGAAACTCCAGGGCAGAAAAATCCTGTTTAGTTCTCACTGTCTGGGGTGGGGGGTGTTTGCCATAATTTACATTATCTAAGCTGTGCTGGTAGATTATCACTTCTAAACTAGATGAGCAGGACCGTCTCTGCCTACAAAGGATTTTTAGGGCCCATTCACACCACATCTGCAGACCAGACTGTTTCTAGAGCCAAAATGCATCCTGTTGTATCCCTATGCTATTTCTGGCCTCTGTTCACACCAGCGCAGTCCGTTCCAGACCAGAAAAATACTGCATGTCTCATTGTGTCTGGTCTGGAATGCACTGGAACTGCAGGCAGGTTCACACTATTTTCTGGACCAGATGAGATCTGGAAAATGGTGTGAACCTACCCTAAAGATCAAGGCATTGAAGGTAAATGCACTAAAAAAATTGCCCATCGGTCTTCTCTGCATATCTATTATCACTAGAAGCTGTCTCTAGTGTCCAATGTATAATACTGCAACAAACAGTGAGAAAGGTAAGACATATGCTTAAACATTTGTAGGTATGCGGTGTGAAATGGGAACACAACAAATAGTGAGGGTTTCTTAAATTTGACTGCAAACGTGGAAATACACTAAGCTGCATGCCTGGTGATTCTATATTATATATAGACATAGTTGCCAATAGTCCTGGATGAATTCATTTAACCCCCCCACCCTGCCAACCTACTCCATGTGATGCTGACTAACTCATAGTCACACATGCTTGACAGTGCTGGGTGATAAGTAGTATCATCTCCTCATAGGAAATCCATATCTGCAGATAAATACAACCCAAATTTGGCCACAGAATCGTACACATCCTGGTTTGTTTTGGCTTTTACACCAACAATATGGCTGAAACATTTCTAATCTCTGTGCTACTGGAAAAGAGGGAGATGGACATATGCCCACAGCAACCAATCATGTTTGTTTTCATTTTCCAATCTGCAGTAAACTTAAATTTTTTCCTAACATGCCGAAATCATGAACATGCGTTGCACCAGCATGTAGTTTGTCCCGCCATTCTACCTGGTGATATTTAGATCCAATACGGCAGCTTTTCATAAATAAAATGAGAAGAGTTTCAGCTCAAAGAAAACCGGAGCCAGTACAACATTTGCTTATAACCTGAAAAGGCTTCTCTTTGATCATAATGCACTAATCCAGCTTTGGAAATTTCAAAGCATTGGGATGCTGCAACATTGCTCAGTCAATTGTGTCCCAGATGGTTCCAACAAAGGATGAAGCATTAAAAAAAGGCAAGATGGGCGTTTGTTTTGTTATGGCAATGAAACTCCGGGTAAAGGTTTCTTCTGAGAATGGAATGAACAGGGGCTCCACTTGTCCTGTAAACAAAGAAAACTATGCAGTCCTGTCAAGTGATGTGACCCCCAAAGTGCAGAGACATGTATGGAGTAGCGGGCAGACATCATCCTTCTCTAGAACATCCCCACCAACTCGCTCAGTTTAGACTCCTCGTAGAGGGTGGTAAACATACATGAACCTGGCTTTTACGCACTAGTCCTAAGGCAGTGGTGCCCTCAAGCTTGTGGAACCCCTTGAAATTCATGGAGGAGGAATGAAATGGTCGTTCCACAGCTGTTTCCAGCTGGAGTTATTTGTCTATCAGTCCACCTTCCTTCAGCTTGAAGTAGAAGAATTTCTCCAGGGTATTGGCACACTTGCAGTACTCGCTGTCAGGGGGGTTGTACTCTCGACAGTTGGTGATGATCCTCTGCAGGTCAGCAATGAAGATCTTCTTGGTCACATAATACCTGTTCTTCAGTCTTTCAGTCATGGTTTTCAGATCTTAAATAAAATGCACAATAATAAACTCTACTTTGATAGAAGACATGTAACATTGTATTTACAATGAACAGCAGAATTAGTTAGGGTGCCCATCCAGTATACAGGCCTTTCCATTATGTGGCCCCAAATGATCTATTGATCATGTCTAAACAACATACAGTGGCTTGCAAACATGTTCACCCCTTGGCATTTTTTCTATTTTGTTGCATTACCACCAGAAATTAAAATGGATTTTTATTTGTACTACATGTAATGGGCACACACAAAATAGTCCAAAATGGTGAAGTGAAATCAAGAAAATACCGTAATATAAAATGGAAAAGTGGTGCATGCATATGTATTCACATAGTCACATAATTAGTTAAAGACCACCTGTGTGCAATCTAAGTCTGCAAAACAAAAGGCAAACTCACTCATTAACTTATCACCAGCTTAAAAAACAAAAAGGTGCACATGGAAGGGCTTTATACAGTACAACAGAAAAAAGTTTCCCAGCACACTCGCCAACCAGCATGCAAAAAGACTTGTCTACCGCTAAGGTTAAAAACAGAGGTTTAGATACGTCTTCTGCAGTATATGTGAAAGCCGCGTCAAGGCACCTCTATGTAATGCGGTCCTAACTCTAAACTACTGAGAGTCTCCATCCTGGAGCACATGTAGCAAAAGATAAAATTGGGTGCAGGGTTTATCTTTTGCTATATCTTTTACCTGCACCCAATTTTATCTTTTGCTACATGTGCTCCAAAATGGAGACTCTCATAGGTTAGAGTTAGGACCGCACTACATAGAGGTGCCCTGGCGCAGCTTTCACATATTCTGCAGAAGACGTGTATCTAAACCTCTGTTTTTAACCTTAGCGGTAGACAAGTCGAACTCCTTCTGCACTTCGGCTCAGCCGAGCATGTTGGGCTGACCGTAGTACGGCTGAAATCAGGTGTACAAGCCTGAAGTGAATAGCCGACCAGCGTTCGCTCACTTCACTTCGGGTGGGTTACTCACTCGGTTGCCTTTGGCAGCTTTGTGAATAACCCTCTATGTATCTATATCTCCCCCCGTTCTCAGTGCACAGAGTAAAGTAAAGAGGTGATTTCTCTTCCTTTGGTCCCCTAACTTTCCAATGATTGGCCTTCCCTTAGAGCTTTACTCTAAGGGAAGGCCAATCATTGGAAAGTTAGGGGACCAAAGGAAGAGAAATCACCTCTTCAGCACAGTGGGAGGTCCCACATCTCACTGGTTTTATTAGTTGGCCAGAAATGAACCACTTCCCGTCCGCCGACCACTGAAAGACGGCCGGACGGGAGTCTCCTGGATGCGGGTGGGCGTCTTTAGACGTCCTTCGTGCCAGGGGGCGCGCACGAGCGGGAAACCGCCAGGATTTTAAACGCCCAGCGATGGCCGTTTACATACAAGTAGTACGGCGTCTGTAAAGACGTCCGATCGCTTGTATGATGCAAGTCAGGGTGACCCCCCTCCTTACCTCTCGTCGCCGCGATCCCGGGCATCATCTAACCCAGGCGATGTGGCAGCTCTGTGCACTGAGAACGGGGGGAGATCAGTCCGCGATCTCCCTCCCGGTCTCTGAATGCAGGAAGTGGTGTATGTTACATCGCTTCCACATTCCTCTGTCACTCTCCGGTACAGAAACCGGAGAGAAGCTGATGAAGCACATTTGTGCTTCATCAGCTTCTCTGGGGGGTCACTAGGTGACATCAGAGGTGTTAGAGACCCCTGATGTCTCCATAAAGGGTACCTGTCACTGTAATTTATTACATAGGGGACTTCTTAGCACCCTATATGTGATGACAATAAAGTGTAAAAAAAAAGTTAACAAAATTGCTCACAAAATAAAATCACACACAAAGCTTTTAAAGTCCCCCACCCCCACATAGATGCGGAAAAATGCGTTAGGTGTGCCTACACGCAAAAAGGACGATTGCGCCCATTACGCCGCACATGTTACATATCGCTGCAAACGTCACAGTGAGAGCAATAATTTTAGGACCATCAAACACTGATAACAGTAAAGTGATAAGCGCTAAAATCTTTTAAAGCAACGCCTACGGGCAATTTTGGCTATGATAGTTTTTTTGCGATTTCGCCGGTGTGCGCAATTTTAAGGCTTGACATGCTTGGTGTCTATTTACCCGATGTGACCCCATCTTTTATATTTTACCAAAAAATTGGGTACAAATAAATGTTTAAAAAAAAAAAACCCATATTCAATACTTTTTTGTTATATAGTAAAAAATAAAAGAAAGCTCTATCTGTCCCCAAAAAAATGGTATAAAATTCGTTTCAGTGTTGCATGACGGAATAAACGTCAGTTGAAGTACCGCAGCGCTGAATACTGAAAAATGGCCTGGAAAGGGAGGGGGTGTAAACACCCCGGTCAGCAAGTGGTTAAGTAAGCCACAACTATTTGCACAATACAGGGGAGTGCTGGCAAAATCTGCCATAGGGTGCCCAAACACCTTACGATAATTGTGGGAAATCCCGCGATCGTACGATTATCGTAAGGTGTGTGGAAGCCTGCAATCTCTACTACTGTAAGGTTGCACGACTTTTAACTTACGAACATGTTCGAAAACCATCGTACGATGCTCGGCGGGTGTGTAGCATGTTCGTAAGATAAAAGCCGGACGGGCCGGTGTGCCCCTCAGGGGGGCACGGCTTGCGATCATCGCAAGTAAGATCTGCCTGTCCAAGATAGGCAGATCTTAATTACCTTACAACCATCGCAAGACAAGTCTTGCGATGGTTGTAAGGTGTGTGCCCAGCAATACAATGAACATTAAACGACTGTTAAGTGAGCCTTACCAATTGGAAAACGAATCACTTCATAGTAATCTGGGGCTTCAGACTTCTTGACAGGTTCCATGAATGGCCAAGCGCTTGGATGTGCCTGATCCAAAAAAAAAAAAAACGGTAAGATTGTGCCCAATTCCACTATGTGAAAAAAAAAAAATATGAACCAACCACGAGGATCCCAGTTATTAACATACTGTACTAAGCACACGGGGATTCCATTTTAGTTGCATCAGTTAGAAACAGCCTTTTGTAGCATATGTATGTATCTAAATTGGGTGGACTGGTAGGGATATTAGGACAATGAGTCACGTCTGACCTATAAGCATGAAGCTGACCCAGGAAGTAGTGATGCTAAACCAGTAAGCAGCAGTGTAATCCGCCAGATTCTACAGGAGGTATGTACCTTACAGCAATGGCTGCCAACATTACAAATCATTTAGTAGATAAAACTGTAAAAACTTAAATGCATTACACCTATGTATTTCACCATTTGCTTGGAGTGAAAGCCAAACTCCAGCCAGAATCATTAAAATCCAAGTATCAAGGTACATGCCTTTCCCATCTAAAAATGCCAGTCTTCTCTTCACGTCCCTTCTTCCATTATTTTGATCCCCATGGCCCTGTACTCCTCCTCTGTTTTGTTCTTCCTGTTAATGCAACCGGGCGCCATTCTTCTATAAGCAGCAGTTCCCGGTTGTGTCATCATTCTTAGTCCCAAGAAGAAGCGTGTCATAACTTCACGCCTCCTTCTGTGGGTGGGTGCGATCAGCACAGAACTTCCAAACCACCCACATCAGTTGATAGGCAGCTATGCAAATAGGACTGGGTTTCAACTAGGGATGCACCGATACCGTTTTTTTCCCCGGTACTCAGCGACACCGAATACAGATACCTGAAGTTACATTAAGACAGGCGGCGGGTAATGACTTGCCACCTGGCGTCCCAATTAGCAGTGAAGCCGTCTCCATACCTCCTCACTAGGTGACAAGAAAGCATGGAGCCGGCTTTCTGGCCAATTAGGTAGGTGAAGAGGGAGCATGAAGCCAGCTTTCCGGTCAATCAGAAAGCCAGACTCCGCGTCATTACACAGTGCCCAGTTTCCTGATTGGCCAGTTTCCTGACCAACCAGGTAGACGAGGGGGCATGAAGCCGGCTCCCGGACAATAACAACTCGCTGCACAGCTTCCCGATACTGGAAGCTCAAGTATTGGGCTAGGTATCGGAGCAAATACTTGGCATCGGCACCGATACTCTTATCGGTATATCCCTAGTTTCAACCTACCCACATGACTCAATAAGCAGCAATGTAAATAGCTGCTTTGCTTATCACATCTCAGCGCACACGCACCTAAGCTCCACTCCGATATTTTGCACTCCACTCCGATATTTTGCACTGACTCATGGGAAACTTAGTGCTGCTTCCCATGGCAGATGTGACATTACACACATGGAACATCCTTCCCCTGGCACACGGCTATAGTGCTTTTACGCAAAGGAGAGCGTGACGTCGTCATTAAAGTGGACGTTAAGCATTTGCAGAAAAAGTAAGCCATTGATTTCTAACATAGCAGTGGTTTGCTTTGGGAGGAGAAGGATCAGTATCCAGAAAGTGAGCATGATTCTGGAGTTGGACATTTAGATTATTGGGAAGCATGCTGCCTCCATTTCCAACGCCATGACAAGCTAAGATGGGGGAGTGAATGCGCAGTTTTCTTTTTCAAGTCTTCTGCATGAGTGACTGTTAGAACCTAGGAAAGCCCATCATTTTTTTTCTTTCAAACAAAAAGGTTGTTTTAACATGGTAAGTTTCGACATAAGTGCTGCTTACTGCACTTGTTTGAACTACACATAAAGCACTGTTACCTTTATCTGTGCCAACAAGTTCTTCAGGACATTGTATAACTGGTCTGGATCCTTAATCTCCTTCCTGTAAAGATGATCAGTTATGAATTGAGTATAACAAAGTATTACGATAATATATGCTAAAGCAAGATATCAAAAGCTGTCTCCATACCAGTTTCGTGAAGCTCTGTGATTCAAAATATCAAAGAATTGGAAAACCCCAAACACCCATAAACACTTTATGTACTTTAAATCAAGAGCCTGAGCACACCTCTCATGACTAAGGGCTTGTTCACATGATATCAGGTCGGTCCTGATCAGATGCGGATCTGCAGACGCGGTGCTACTGATGCAGTGCATTTTTGATGCGTTTTCGGTCCGGATGCTGACAGTTTTTGTTTTTTTTAGCCGTGGGGCTGTCAGTATGCAGATTCTTCCTCTGAGGTCACTTCCGCCCTCTCGGAACATCTACTTCCCTTTGTGTATGTAAAGCTGGTGATCAGACATGTATCACATGTTTGCAGGCATGTTGATGGTGCTGGCTACAGCGATCTGCAGAGAACGAGCCCGCAGGAGACGTCGTTATTGGGTACACCCGATCTTGAGGCTCCGGGACTCCAAGGGTCAGTTCTGGAGTTTGTATGAGGATTTGCAAGGTCACCCGGATACATTTTTTCCTTTAATCATATGACATCATAAAAAGTGGAGCAAGAATACAATTTTTTTTTTTTTGCTTAGCTGCATTGTGTTCCCAGACCGGAAAAAATGTGACATGCAGTATTTTTTCTGTCATAAGCTGAATGGACTGCGCACGTGAGAACTGTAGCCCATAAAACACATAGGGATACATTAAGTGCAGGAGCATACGGATCAGGTCAGCACAGAAAATGGGCGTCGTGTGAACAGGCCCTAAGTCCCCATTGAGTAATGGAAAGGGATACAGACTAGTGTTCAGAGGAGCTGCTAATATCATATGCTCAGGTGACACTGACATCAACTATAGCATCAGAGGAGTTTACTACATACCCTTTTTCCTTGCAAGATGGCTTCCACCCAGTTTCTCCTGAAAAAAAAATAAAAAAATGCTATCACTAGACCTCTTGTAAAGCCACATCCCTTGGTGCACCTTTCACACATATACACACTTACTTATGCCTGGGATACATTCTACCGGGATCTGCCGTACACCTTCTTTAAAACATGTCAAGCCGGGATAGACCTTGCGAATCTGTGCCTGTCTGCGCTCAATCAATTTCTTAATGATCTGGATCAAACAGAATTACAGCAATAATAATAAATCATTCCAAGAGCCATGTTAATTCATTAAAGATCTCAGATGCTGGGACCTTCGGTACAAGAAGCGCTACTAGAATAAACCGCAAGGGTGTGCAGATGCCCAGAGAATTATACCTTCGCTTCTCATCACATGAAAGCCCAGATCCAGGCAAAACTTTATTTATGAAAGCACAGAGAAGGGTTAGAACATCCATCAGGATTTTTTTAATATTACTTTTCGTGTCTCTCTATTTAAGAGATTCGTCCTTAATGGTGTCACAAACAGAAGGAAAAAGCTGACAGATTTTAACGCTTCCCCATTCCATCCAAAACTATGAACAATTTTTTTAGCTGGCGTTAAGCTTTAAGACAGTCATCATTATGAAGGGTGGTAGTTTAGTTTATTGATTGATATGGGCTACTGTACTTTTTTACACTGTTCTGACTTATTAAACATATTCAACTATTATTGTAAAAAAAATAAGCCGGCTGCCATTGCCGACTCCCTAGTTCAGTGGCTGTCACTGGCTTCAATGACCCAGACAAGTATGAGCAGTTGAAACCAGAGAGCAGTCAGAATTGCCGATTTGTTTACTTGTTTAAACGTCCATCGTGGAAAAGCTGTTGGCACAGAATGGAAGCCAGGTAACTGGCATTTTTTAGAAGCAGAGGCAGCCATAAGTGATAATGGCCGCCTGCACATTCCCTTTAAAAATATAAGGGTTCTTGTAGAGCAGGGGTCTCAAACGCAATTAACTCAGGAGTCACTGGACATTTTTTTCCTCCCATGTGGGCTGCTGGCCAAATTTCATACTTCAATTTTATTTTGTATATACAGTACTATTGTTAATGTCAGTATATGCGTTTGTGATGGTTTCTTTGTATATTTTTTGCGATGCGTATGTATAGTCAGGATTTCCGTGAATGATGTCGGTATGTGTGTTAATGTTTCTGTCTGTGCCATATCAGTATGTATACATGTGCATATGTGTGCATTGTCAGTATAATATGCGTGTCTTTTCTTTCCCCCCACAGGTTCTCATTTAAATCATAGAGGACCAACAGATTCGCACATGCACACACAAAAAAAGCACCGCCACCAGAAATACACGCACAATAAGGCCCCATTCACACCTGTAAGTTTAGAAGTGATTAGGGATTTGCACCTGCGTTATCCTGCAGCAGCAGGAATCCCTAATCTGGCATTTCCAAGGGGCAGCTGTCATTCGTTCAAGTTAATGATCGGATGACAGCCGCTGCATGTAAAAACCATCACATCGCATGTAATGGTATGCAATATAATTACATGTGCTTAGGAATTAATCACTACCTCTGGATGCATAGAACGTGCATCCAACTGCCTGAAATGATATCACATACCATTACATGCATTGTGGCGGCGTTTACATACAACGGCTGGCACCTGATTTGGCCTGCTGGCCATTACTTTAAGACCCCTGTTAGAGAGGTTAGAATAGCTGCTTGTGATCTCCATTACTAAAAGCTTTGTCAGCACAACTGCTTGTTTTACACAGGACATGTAAAAACTGGGAGAAAGGGACATTATTGTACACCAAATCCAGAGAGAAGCTTAGAGCACACACCTCCTTCTGCTTCTTTATGATGTGGGAGAGTTCAGTGTATGGAATGCGAGGATTTAGTTCACACTCCATCAAGGTGGCACCTTCATAATCTTTGATGTAACCCAGATAACGACTTTTGGGTACTTTGATGTCTTTTGAAAAACCCTACAAAAGCAATATGTAGAATTACAGTCAGTGGAAGCATAAAAACACAAAAGAAGCAGGGACATTAAACAAATACTATAGCACAACATTTCTGGTGACATCCTCCGACTTTCTTTGAATAAAGAAAAGGGAAAAACACCCAGTTTCTATGTTTTTGACACGTACAATGCCATTCAAGGTAACAATAGACTCATCAAATCCACAAGAAGTTTCAAATGACATTAAGCAAGCTGCCTGGGGATTTTATTTTGTCCGGGCTTTTCCTTTAGCATGCAGGATATAATAGAATTAGGCTACGTGTGATATAAAAGAGGTTACATTGCACAAAAGGACGTAATTCAAGCATACAAAAGAAGCAGACTTCACGCACATCCGCAGTAGTTTCTGCTGATCTCAAGCCCTACCTGGTGGGATACATGAAACCTATGATGCTGAAGTCTTATCCTTGTGCTCAAATAAAGCCAAGTAAAATATTCAAATTAAACCTTTACCAATATCTTTAAAATAACAACAAACACTTTTAGAAATGTTTAGTAATTGCAATCTACAAACACATACTTCTAGATAATTGCCGGCTTTGTATTCTTTGCATATCTTATTTCTCTTTTCTTTCCCAGTCTTCTGACAGTGGCCATGTTTACTAAGGGAAGATACTAGCTCTCCTATTACTTCCTGGATTTCTGGCACATGTGACTAGACATGCGACTAAGACACGAGACCATGCACATCATCTCAGGGGGAAGAAAATGCCTTTCCCTGAGATCTCATGTGATTACAGATGAGATTTCCCAGCAATGCTCTGCTGATGACAAGGCAATCCCAGTGTGCAATGCTTTGGCAAACTGAAGTAATTTTGCCCTTTCAAAGCAGGAAGTGAATGCTCTCCAAGTGTAAGTATTCCAAAATCACAACATTTTACACCTGACATGTCTATGTTATTATTAATCATCATACATAGGAGGGATGCATTGGCAGAATTTAATTTTTGAGTGTAAAGGTCCGCTTTAAATTTGTGTCTCAACTATCACATCCATTTTGGGATCACAATCACTAAACTAAGCTGGCCCAAATGTTACAAAAGTGGGGATAAAAAAAACAAACAAAAAAAACACAACACACCACTGCTTAGACTCGTAGAGTAGACTCTTTCTGACACAGGGAGACCCACACACACACGCGTTCAACTGAGTAATATAGGCCAGGACGAAAAACACAAATGAAGACAGTTTGGAGAACAATACAAAGATTTGGAGCCAGAACAATACGAGTGTTAAGGTACTATCATCTAGATATTATATATGGGAATACTATTTTAGATGCAAAATTGATACAGCCAAAAACAAACCAAACCTAAATGGGACTTTATTGGTAATATTGTAATCAAAAGAATATTTAGGTAAAACTTTGGTTTATTTATATATATCCATAAAACAAAGGCTAAGCTGAAACAGAAAACAAAATCAATGATAACACTCCCCCCTCACCTCATTAAAACAAGGAGGTATAGGTTCGGTATATTACAGTTATCAAAGGGTTGCTCAATGATGGAGCTGTGGCCACTTGGCGCATTTTGTGATCACTGTCCACTTCAGAGAAAAGGGACAACAATCTAGAGCATATCAATTTGAAGTTAACCATCCTGTCTAGTGACTGATTATATAGACGTTGTTTACTCAGTGACTACACAGGATGGCCAACTTAAAAACATATGTTATAGATCGCTGTCCTCCAGTTTCCAACCGTGGAGTGAATGGTGATGTTCATGAAACCAATCAAATGCCCAGAACCCCGCCATTGAACAACCTTATGATATCTTGAAAACTGTGTACTTGTAATATACATATACAACCCAAGTTGTAGTAAGCGGCATGGGAGGAGGAACGTTATCAATTATTTGTTATGCATATCAGCCTTGCTTTTATTCACGTTTTAAGGATAGATGAAAAAAAATTGAAACTTAAGCCAAATATTGTTCTGATGACAAAATGTTATACCCATTTAGTACAAAAAAAAAACACAACAACCCATTACTACTACAATTTATACAGGATAATAAAGACATCCCATTTTGGTAGGGCAAAGAAAAAATCTAATTTCAATACAAATTTAGTCAAGTCTACAACAGCAGAAACATATTTCTTACCAATCTGCTCCTTTCTCAGGCTGAAAGGCATAATATTAAAAGTTAAAACAGATACCCACCTGCTTTTTGAAATAGCCAATAGCATATTCATCTGCATATGTGAGGAAGTAGAGGATGTTGTGTTTGATGTGGTACTCCTTTAAATGGTTCATCAAATGGGTGCCATATCCCTTAAAATGAGATTAAGAAAATCAAATCAATAAAACACAAAAAGCAGAAAAGGCTGGACTTGAAATCCATTTCCCCCTTTGTAAGTGATTAGCATTTATTGTGGTAATGTAGAGGTGCAGTGATGGATACATGTGCACATTTTCATGACTCGTAGTGCAGGCTTTCTTCATTTATTAACTTATTAGGCCTGAATCCTAGAAATTAAAAAAAATTTCCACAGGAAATTAAGTCTAACACAGGGATCAGATTGTACAGCAAGCGGTAAACAGCTGCTCCCCTCAGTTATTCATTATAACACGATCACTAAACACTAGCTCTGCCTTTCCAGGTTACAATACACTGTCTGGTGGGGTTGTCACTATGAATACTATATCATATACAGCAACTGCATATGGCTGCTTCATGTACCGGTGTACATTGTTGGAATGTTTTTTTTTTTTTTAAATACCTCGCAAAAGGTGGAAATGGGCTTTTAAAAGGACCGTGGAGATGAATAGTTACACAGTCCAGAGACCATGGAGCTCAAAGAATATGGCTATAGCAACAAAGTTATTTCTGTGATGCACACAAGAAAATGGAAGCAAATATATGGTAAAACCTTAGGTAAATAAATGTGCAATAACTGATCTGAGCACAGCATCAATGATGGCGATGTGCAATGGACATGAAAAACGCATGTAAAATAAGATTCTACAAACCTTCACTTGCTCATTAGAAGTAACAGCACAAAACACAATCTCTGTGAAACCTTGAGTGGGGAACATACGAAAACAGATGCCACCAATAACCCGACCATCTTTAATAAGTGCAAGAGTTTTGTGTTTCCTGTAGAATAAAAGATAAGGTGTGTTAAGAAAACAATGAATGACCATAATGAGTCATAAAAAAAAAAAAAAAAAAAAATATACTAGTAATAATATGGAGGAAGAAAAGCAAGCCGTTCAGAAAACATGTTACATCAAACTGAAGTCACTAGATTCCCAGTGCTGCAGTCCATTGTGTGTTGCGCTGTGCTGAAAAACACGTATGCACTAATTTTTTTTTAAACAAAGATATTATTAGCAGGTTACATACAAGGTGCATATCCCAGTATAGTAAACATCATATATGTAAGTTGCGCCAAGTAAGTGCCTACATCTCTCCACATAATCTACTGCACATCAGGGACAGGCAATGTAGAAGTCAGGGATCGGCAAGGTGCAAAGTCTGGGCAGAATATCAGGCAGGGATAAAATAACCTAATCCAGGCGCAGACTCCCTTAACGCACCATTTTCAGTAATGCAGCACAGCACAATGTACGGTGGTGTGTTGTAATGTGTAGCAACACACATGTATTGGCAAGGTGTGTTGGGCTCATCTCTGCAATGCCAACAGTCTCATTTTCTCATCATCTGCTTTAGACACTGCTTTACAGCACAAAAGGTGCATAGTGCTTAATACGAAATAAAGTTTGTTTGATTACCAATGCTGAACATGATTTTTAAATGTTTAAATTCCAAAGCATGCACTCGGGTAACAGTATCAAGTGCAGTGCACAGCTGCTTTTCAATTAAGAATATCACAGCATATACAATATGGAATGCCATATAAATAAATATGGGTTGCAGCTACCAAAAATAGAGCTACAACTAGGTTTTTAGATGGACACCTGTTTGGCAAGTAAATATATATCTATTGTCAAGGAAACACATTACTCTTGGCTTAAGTGGCATGGTGTGTGCTATAATGTCAAACGTTCAATTTCAAGCTTTTAGTCAAAAGAAATTTATTTTACAGGTGACATTAAAATTAAAGTGTAAACTTCAAGCTTTGGACTTACGGGTCAAAGACGAGCCGCGTGATATATTCCTTGGGCATTCGTGGAAGTTGATGTGAGAAGACGTTCTGTAAGCCAACAAGCCACATAAGAATCTTCTTGTTAGACTTCTGAGACAAAGAGTTTCCAATCACATGGAACTCAATGATCCCCCTGCGCTCCTCTAGGCGTGCTGTCTCGTCACGTGCAGCATTAGCAGATAGTAAACTTGTCTATTACACAAGAAGTAAAATAAAAACACAATGAAACTGGAGTATTCTCAATGCATCTAAGGATGTCAAGATAAGATGTGTGGCATTGCCTTAAAGGCTATTACATACGCATATTATTTTTATATAATTTATTGTTAAATATGATTAACATAATCATTACTAAATAAAAACACACAAAACATGACATTAACAATGTGTTTCATCAATGAGCATCTTACATCTGGACCCAACATAGCAGCAGGGTCAGTGATGGTTAGCATAACTTCATTTACTAGTTCCATAGGTATATCACCCATAACCCGGATTCTCTTGGCATCCTCTATTGTCAGGCTGTCGGACAGTTTCCTTTTTTCTCCTGTGTGGGAAAAGGGCAATAAAATGTCATTAAATGAGTGATATGACAAGGATACTATGCAACATCTAGAAAACAATGCTGTTTTTGGTCTGTTCTAAAAATAGGTAATACTAATAACTACAGATCTTTGCAGTATGGTGTACAGAACAGACAAAACATCTTCCCATAATTCAGGTGGGAGATATTATTTAAGTAGAGCAGACATTGTTTATTGGTAATTTACCTGCAGAACATCTTTAGAAAACATACAACAGAATATTTTATTACCTTGTAGGGGTTCTGAAATCCCAGCATCTCCATTGGATGATAGAGTGGAGTTGTTGTTCAGGCTGTTGCTGAAGAGTGGAGTACTGGGGGCAGCAGTAGTGTTTACAGCAGCTTGTAAGAGAAACCATGAAATAAGTCATCTTTCTAAACAAAAAGGAAACCCTATCATTGTTTTCCAGATAAAGTTAAATGCCAGGCAAACTACTACATATTAGGTTGAAATATATACAAATATACAGCATATTTATATGCCATTTGATTTGTCAAATATGCCAAATGACAGCAACAGTTTCGGGCATACAATGCTCTCTGCCAAACTGATTACAGTATCACAATAATTAATGGGAACTACGGTAGTAGGAAAGGACATGGTGATGTCCTTTTACTACCTGTTCTCTCTAAATGCCATGCAATACTCATTTGTAATCAGCATGACAAACAGCACAATCCATTTATTTGTCTCTTTATTGTGAAAGGCTATGAAACCTTATCTGGCCCTTATTTCTTTATATTACTGTCACTGGTTATATGCATACATGTCTTGAAACTGCAAGATGATGCTGAACCGGACAGCCAGCTGAATTACTCTACCTGGACGGGGCACTAGCTGGGGAACCTCCGTGTTGGGGACTGTGAAATCTGCCTCCCAGATTGGAGAGTTCTCGCCATAAATTTCTTCTTCCAACATGGAGAGGAACCTCAAATGTAAAATATAAGCAGCATAAGTGTATGTCAAAGCTTTAATTGCACTTTAACAGCCCCTGTCCCCAGAAGCACAAACATTCATCAATTATCTATACTATTGGCAGGTGAAATAATACAATACTACAAAACACAAGACTTAAGGTGGCCATACACTAGTAGGTTTTCGGTCGAACATTTTCATTTGACACGAACCCTCGTTTGATTATAGCTCGAATAACCCATCAAGCATAGTCAAATGTCAATTTTGGAAATTGATGGTTAGACATACTAGCCATCCAATTTTTTACAAATTATAGAAATACATTTTCTTTTGCGCATGTGATGTGTTCTTGCTAAGATTTTTGACGAACTAAAACTACACTGATCTATCGAATTTTGTTCTATCACGATATCAAAAATGTACCATCAACTTAGTTTGTGTACAATTTCCAAACAAAAATCAAACAATGTATGGTCACCATATGGGGCCCAATATTTACTAGTAAACAAAATCGCAACTGAATTCTCTCAGATTTCAGTTACTTTTTAGTGGCTGTTCACACGACGTCTGTTTTCTATGCTGACCTGATCCGTACGCTCCTGCACTAAAAATGCATCCCAATGTATCCCTATGTGTTTTATGGGCTACAGTTCACGTGCGCAGTCCGTTAAGGTTACGACAGAAAAATACTGCATGTCAGATTTTGTACGGTCAGGAAACGCAAAACGCGTCAAAAATGCACTGCACTGCAGCTGACATACTGACAGCCCCACTCCAGCAAAAAAATAAAAACAATTTTTTTTTACTGGAACGCATCAAAAATACATAACACTGCGTCTGCAGATCCGGACCTGAAACTCATGTGAACAGGCCCTAAGGCATGCCAGTTGTACAGGTTGCCAGTGTGCTTATTTCAGCTCTCAACTGATCTTTCAAGCCCTCAAACGGCTGGTGTCATAGCTGATCACATGTGCAGCACCATGACAACTGCAATCCAAATAGAGGCTTGGCACCTTCCTTGGCTGTAAAAGATATACTTGCAAAGTAATGCAACAGTGCATTTTGTTTTAAATCTCCAGAAAATATTTCTGTTTTTCTGCCGTCACTCAAGTGATCCATTGGGTATTCCCCTTGTTTTTTTATAACTTGTCTGATTACAGATCTATGTTCATCTCAAGCAGGTTTAGCCCCTTCCCATCCAGCTGTTGCAATTAAATGGCCAGATGGGACACTATTGAATGCGGGTGTTTGTTTTTTTTTAGACATCCTTTCTCACCACGGGACAGCGCACAAGAGTGGGAAACTTTCAGCATTTTAAACAGCCAGCAATGACCGTTTACATACAAGCGTTTGGGCGGCTAGAGATTGCAAGTATGTTGTGTGCAACTGTCTGTGTGTCTTTTGAATGCAGAAGTGATATGTATTACATCACTTCCACCTTCAGCTATCATTTCTCCAGCTTCTGTAGCCAGAGAAGAAGCTAGTAAAGCAGATATGCTTCATCAGCTTCTTTGGAGGTTCGTAGGTGACATTAGGGGTCTAATAGACTGCTGTTTCCATAAAGACGACCTGTTATTTTATATTTGCGATCACATAGGGAACTTGTTAGACCCCTCTCATAATAAAATCCATGTTATCCCTAGAGACATGTCAGCCCATAAGGCTTAATAACCAAACCGGGACCCCCCCATCTGTTAAAAAAAAAAATCAAGGCAACTGGACTTGCTGCATTTTTCTTGAAGACGTTTCGCTGGTCATCCGACTATCTTTCTCAAATCTTAATTATACTATATACTATGACTTGGATGAATGAGAACCGTCACAGAAACACTAGGACCATTAGTGCAATGAATATGACAAATACTGTTGGATGTTTAGTACCAGGATCTTTAACTGTACTAACCACCCCCTTGGCCTGGGCCTTGATATAACCAAAATAATATTATTTCCAACTACACTCACTTGGGGAAGTGGGTAAGAATAAGTGTCCTCTTCTCTGGAACCAGCTTATCCTTCTCCACTCTAAATTTCTCCAGAAGTTGTCTGCGTGTAACCGTGAAGATGGAGCGTAGCAAACTCCGTCCAAACACTTGTGTGGTTTCATACCGCGGTAAGCTATCACAGCTCTGAGGAACGTGACAGTAACAAAGCCACCTGCAACAAAGAAATCAATTCTGACAATACATACAACCAATGCAATCATTTAACAGTCAACCAAATGCTAAATGTCACCAATGTAAAATAACCACACAATGATTGATCGTTTCCATATACTGATTAACTGATGGCATATGCTTATTCTAGCCCTAGATGGGACAACATCTTTCAGCAGGATGTTTTTTCCACAAAGATAGTCTTGGCAAGTTCAATCATCTGAAAACACATTTTAAACCAAGGGAAAATAGTCTGCATATTTTATAAGGTGTGGCCAGGGAGTTTCATATGTGACCGGAACAGCTGAGAGTAATGGGGGAAACCCAGAATAAGCAGGACATATTGGATATCCCGGCTGTCAAAGAATGGCTAGAGTTCCCCCGACATTGATAAAATATTGCATAACATGACTTCATACCCTGTTCTGTGCCCTGCCCAACTGTCTCCTCCGTCTTAGCAGCAGTATTCAATAGCCATCTCTTAGTGCCCAATTAGTATGGTGCAACCAAACATCCAGAACAATGACAACAAGATTTGTGGACACACACACACAGTGTATCTTGGCAAGTTACATCACATATGTCAATCTCAGCATTAGCCGATAGTGACTGGGTTTGCATAGTGATAGTTGTGGTTTAATGAATAAAGATAGAACACCCAGAATAACCACCTACCGCTTACTGCTATTTAAAGTGCATGATAAAGTTTAATCCAACGCAGCAAAAGATTGGCACACAGGTAAAGCAATATTGTCCAAACATCTTATTAAACAAAGGATGAGCGCAGGTTCGGATAGGGTTCTGAACCTGAGCTCCTCGAAACCCAGAAGGCAGCTCCTTCCACTGCTGGCCTATCAGGAGCAGCCAGGAGGTTTCCTGCCTGAAGCTGCATGTAAGCAAAGGGGTGGAGGCTGTGACATCACTGACCCTTTATATTTGGTCAATGACATAGGCCACACGGCCATAAGAAGGTCAATGATGTCAAGGCAGGCACCCCACAACCTAATGTGCGGCTGCGATTTTTTTGGATTGTAATATCAGTTTATTGATCCAATGTGCCTATGTCACGGTTTGCAGCCAGGGCCAACCTTTATTTTTGCCCTTCATAGACTTTCTGAGCCAGTCACAAATACGCAGCTTCTCAAGGAAGATTTCCTGTAAATTGCCCATTATCTTATACCACACAGTGGTTGGCCTCCTCAGTCTAAGTCACCCGTGGTCACTACTTGGAGAAACAGAAAGATGAAAATGCAATAGAGAGACTTCTGCTTTGTGTAAACAGACTTCCATGCAATGACTCACTGATTGGAAGGCTGCAATGCGAGCGAACACATGCCATCACAAAAGCTCTACCTCAAAAGCTTCTGATCAAAGCAGCTACTCTCCCAACTCATAAAACTACATCCAGGTTTTGGAGCAGTGAGAAGAAACCCGATTATTACCTCTGAACATGGCAGATGCCCTAAAACTAATAGATCAGTGAAAAGGAGAATGCTAGCTTCTGTCCGATGCTTACAATGCATGACAAATTCTCCTTCAAAAAGCGGATACTGTACTTGTTAGCTAAAACTTAAGGCGGAACTCAAGGATTTTGAAAAGTTAACAGTGCAGTGGGGCTACCTTTGCACTGCAAGGTTACATGCTCATTTTGTCTAGGGAGCGCCTGGCTTCTAGACTGGTCCCCGCAGCCTCGTCTCCCGGGCTCTGGCAGTCTAAGGACACGTGACATCACCACTTCTACACAGGTCTATTAGACATGAAGATGCCGAGGGACATACTACAGCCGAAGAGGAGGGGGTGAGAGGTGAGCAGTCACTGTTGCAGGACTGGGTGAGTATTTCTTCTTTATTTTCACCCCAAGTCCAAAACGAGCGGTTAACCCTTACAGTCGGGAGGGGGGTGGCCCCGGTGCAAGGGTGAAAATGTTTTAAATCCTTGAGTTCTTCTTTAGGAAGCCAAATCATACTTTACCTTGTGTAGTTAACCTTATAGGTTGCCACATCCTCATTCTGGGACCTCTGTCGGAACTGCGATGGGGTTTCAAGCTTCCAGTAATTTAAACAAAGTAGAAACATTTTAGAGAGCTCATACATTGTCTGGCGTTCCTTTGGTGGCAGGTGGCTGAATTTGTACTGCACAAAATTTAGTACCCCCTGTGGAAGAAGAGCCATCATTTTAGCTTTCTGAAATGTACTTTCAAAACAAATGAGGTTGTTGCTAGGGTGCAAATAACCTATTACAGTAATACCTTGGTTTACGAGCATAATTCGTTCTGGAAGCATGCTTGTAATCCAAAGCGGTTGTATATCAAAGCGAACTTCCCCATAGGAAATAATGGAAATTCAGATGATTCGTTCCACAACACAAAAATAATTACAATACTGTACTGTGATAGAATACTTTACAAAATATAAAGAAAAATAGACCAATCCCCGGTACCTTCGTGGCTGGTGTGAGGGGGACAAGAGAGAGGAGGATTATTGTGTAGGACAACTTTCACTGTCACTAACGGAATCACTGCTATCTCTTGGCTCAATGGAATCTTTTTCATTTCGTGAAACCTTAACAAGGAATCTATCCAATGTGACATTGCATTGTCATTAAACAGACTAATCGCTCGCACTGCTACAGCCTTATTCGGGTGGTGCTTTTCTACAGAATTTTGCTCTTATTGCAAGACATTGCTCGCATATCAAGGCAACATTTTTCAGAAATGTTTGCTTGTCTTGCAAAAGTTATTACTGTACCTTCCTATTTCAGTGTTATAAAATGTCTCCATTGCGTCTGTGAAAAGGACATTGTAACAGGCAAGCACAAAACACCAAAGAAATTAAAATTATTGGCTGGGTTGGGGTTTTGCTCTGATGCCCCTGTGTGGATATATAAATTCAGACATCACATGCTCTGTGTACGTAAGCTGTACAAAGATTCATTACTCAAACATGCAACAAGCAAAACCTATTCATGCTATAAACATAAAATAGTTTAAGGCTTGACTGAAAGTCAGGCACCTTCCGTTTGGAATTTAGCATGAATTTTGTAAATTACTTAAAAGGGTTAATAAACCCTCAGCGGTTTTTGCATATACCAACTGCTAGCAAGCAGTAAATATATGCAAAACGATAAAAAAAAAAAAAAAAAAATGTAAAAAATAGGATTTTGCCACCCCTAGGCTGTAATTGGTCTTTAGTTTTGTGCCTAGCGTCCTTCTCCTGCAGGTGGCGATATTACCCTACCATTCAGGATCTACGATCTGTTGCCTGTGTCCTTCAATGAACGGGAGAGAAAAAATGTTTTTCAAAGGGTTAATACTTACCTGTGTCTTCACCACGCGCTCCCGTCCGAACATCTGAAAATTTCTCGGGTTGCCGCAAAGGATCTTGGGCCGGGCGAATGCGCAGTTCAGATGTTCGGCCGGGGAGACGATGAGAGACACAAGGTAAGTATATGGAGCAGCGTGCACCTGCACAGACTTTGTGGGACATGAGCGAAGAGGAGGACAGAGGAGTCAGCGCTGGATCGGAGACCCGCACCAGCACTGGAGGGACAGCTAAAAACTCAGGTACCACAGGGAAATGGTAGCCCGGGTCACCTCCTTCACTGTAAGCTTGCAAAGTGCACCAGGGCCACGTAACCACCATATGCCAGACAACCCATGAGAGCGTGAGCTCCAAGGAAAAAAAAAAAAAAAGGGTGACAGGTCTCCGGATGGAGGAAACACACTGAGGGCTGGATCTGGTGGGATCACTTTTAAATTCTGCTGGGTGGTGCGTTTCCTGTCCGAAGGCATAGCCTCACACTCTCATGGGCTGTCCTGGAAGACGACTGGGGAAAATTGGATTTGAGGGGATGCTAGAGGATACCATCAGCCACTAGGGTTTTTCTAACATCCACAAACACTACAGGGAGATTTGCAGAGAGATTGGCAGGTGCACATAACCACACTAATTACTATATGGCAGAGGCAAAACAGACATGGCAATTCCATTGAACTGGACTGCTGTTGTAATTCACATGACCAAACTTAACCTGAAAACATATGGAGATGCCCTCAATTATATAAAGAAGACAATATCAATCCTTTAACTTGTGAACATCTTGCTAAAATTACCTGTTCAATATTTGGCTTTTCAAAGGGTGGACTTCCCAGGGACCCTTCCACCACTGGTCGGATCATCTGCAGAATACATTTTCTAAGAAGCTATAAAAATTGAAAAATATGAATGAATGGATCAGTCTCCTATAATAACAGATTAAAAGGGTTTTATTTTCAGATCTTACCTTAAACAGGTAAAAATAGACCTGTTTGGTATCTGTATCCTCCTCCTTGTGAACAGACATGAAGAGGTTCTCCACATCCACCACCATGCCCAACAACCGATTGATTTCATCTTCAGAAACATTTTCTAGATGTGACACATGGTCAGCTGCAGTTCAAAATAAACACTAAAGTTAATATTCATGAAATGTTTAGAACATGCTTCAAATTGTTGACCTTTTTTTCAGAAACGATGCACAATTCACATCCTCCCTTATTTGTAGCCCTGGTGACCAGGATGAGCAGAGAGGTTGCATGCTGATGCTGTTAAATCCAGTCTGGGAATGTAAACATCTGACCTCTGATCATGAAGGGGTTAAAGCCTATCCATTATACAGGGGTGTGGGATTCCTGCGCTGGGCAGGTGTTTTTCTTTGCATTGAGCACTGCTGCATGCAAGCAGGAATAAATGTAGAGCAGGGAAGCCACTGCTCGTTTTGTATAAGTGATCTGGGCGGCTGTACAGCACTTGTAGCAGCCTGCTTGTCCATCCATCCCCTGTGGTTTTTGTGGTGCCCTGCCCTTCTGGGGGACCCAGGACCACAGCAATGATTTTAGGATGGAATGCGTCTGTTCTCCGATCTGCTCTGTGGGATCAGTGAGACAGGAGCACTGTACTCACAGCGCTTCCCATCTCAGCTGCATGGAAAATCAAGGGCAGGCTCCATAAAAGAGAACCTGTCACCTCCAAACACCATCACATAAGGGCTTGTTAGCCCCTGTATGATAACAATAAAGTTAAGTGAAATTATATATATATTATATATTGTGTGTGCGCCATATTGTGGTAGCCAGGCAGCAGCACTCTCGAACACGCACAAGGTGCATTACAGGATAGTTCACTTTCCAAAAGTAATTTGCCTGCTCAAACATGGCCCCCTCTCCCCTCTTTGCTATACTTGCCTTTCAACGAACGGTCCTTCCCCTCCGCTGGTCCGGGTGCACTTTCAGCACAGCGCTGCACTATGGATTTTGAATTTCGCTCCTAAATTGCGAGCACTCATTGATTGGCGCAGTCAGAAGCGCTTCTTAGCACGGTTAAATACGGTTTTGGTAAAAAAAAATATTTTGTATCAGGGCAAGTAGATTGTCATAGATTGGGTCCCCACTTTAGCCCTGGGACAAGTAGTTGTTTTTTTTTATTATTATTTCCACCCCCCTGATTATTTGACTACCTATATACTTTATCATATCTCTCCAAGGTCCTCTTGTATTTCTAGGGTACACCTTCCCAGCCTGGGCAATCTTTAGGAGAGCTTTATAAAGCATCTGCCCAACCATACACTGGGTGAATGCTATTCCCACGACATTCCTGTCACTAGATGGAACAAAGGAAGGAGTCCCATACTATTTTTTTTTTCCTACATAGCACATAACATAAAAAAAAAAAAAAAGCACCGCTTTGCCCCAAGTATGAAGCAGAACCAAGAGAGAAGAAAGGAGTTTGTTTGAGGGTTGTTGTTTCTCGCTATCCTAGATTTAGGAGGTCCTGATTATTGCATATAAAAAGGATGAACTCCCTAAGCAGGGTCAGCCAAACATAGACCGTTTGACTTCCTCACCCTTTCCCGGAACCTCTCCTCCTGTGGTCCCAGGGAGACATGATACCCAGATTTTGGGACTGTTCCATCTAGCCCGACGATTCGCCGGCCTGTCCTAACTTGTTGTGGTTCTGCCTGAAAGTAAGCATTTGCTATAAAAGAAGTTGCTAACAAAACCTCCCCTGATGAAGCTTTAATGCCCTGGGAGAAAATAAACTACAAGCCCTTGGATGCTGTCTGTATGGAATAACGATTGTACGGTGGTGTAAATATATGCTACTTGAATGTAAAAACTGTATAGGGTACAACATTAAGGGCTATACTTTTCTGAAAGCAACAGAATGAGGAAGATATGCTACCAATGTATAGCGCACGGGAGTATTTGTAGAAACTAAATGTTGTATTTTAAACTGTGATGTCAAATTATGACATATAGTTGTGTAAATGACTCATATAAACCCCATTATTGTATATATTGGTATTTAAATAAGTATGGGTAAAGAGGCAATGAAAAATCTATATGTGATCCTTAAGAGGGTTTATTTATTGGACTCATCTAAACTGTGTTATTGCTAGGCCTGCCAATAATGAACAATTTAAAGTGCAGGGAGCCTACCAGCATGACAGTCTAGGCTGGATTATGTTTAAGAAATTAAGAGCACATTAGGTTCCAATTGACAGGATTAAAAGACGTCTGAATCTCTCATACCAAGGGAATGACCACAGCTTCGGCATGGGTCGCTCAGGCTGGCCGCAGGCTGCTGGAGGTCCATTCTTGGTGCTGTCTGTGGGTTCGGGTTTTTCCATCCATTGCATTTACACACATCATTTGCCTGGTTCATCAAGGAAAGAAGAGGTATGTATGCATGCAATATAGCAAAGTTCATTTTATACCAAAGTAAAAACAGAAACACCATAGGTTTTACCTTATAGACAACATTTACAGGTACAATAGAGCACTACTAAAACCCTTCTGTTCAGGAGTATCAACAGAGGGAGAGCTCTCTCGGGCCAGGATATATATGCTGGCCCCGAAAAAAGTGATATTGTTTTGCCTCGGTATCAGTGTCGATACCGAGTACTCGTACTCGCCCAAATGTTTCAATATGTTCTGGTCAGGGGGACATCTCCCTCTGAACGGCAGTGCCGAGGGAGAATAGAAGCGATTTCCTTTCCAATCAGGAAGCCGGAAATGGGTTATGACCCTTCCTCCCGATTGGCTAGGAAGCCGGCTTCACTTGTTTCTAGGCAGCCTGGCGGTACGTAATGACCCGCCACCCGGCTTCCTGATTGGCTAGGAAGCCGGACGGCACGTCATAACTTGCCCCCCAGGTTCCTGATTGGCCAGGAAACCAGGCAGCCTCGGGAAATGAAGCTGGTGTTCTTTCGATAGAACACCGGCTTCCCAGGCAATCAGGAAGCCGGATTTGCCTGATGAAGATACCACACTGGTTCCGAAACTAGGGCTGCAACAACTACATCGATTAAAATCAATAATGAGAATTATTGGCAACCCTTCTTATCAGTGATTAGTTGCTTTTTGATTAGTGGCTGCTGCTCTGCTTCTCCGTTCTCCTCCCCGCTGGTGCTGACTGCAGCGGTCTGTGTCCCTTTCAATACCCGCTGCTCTCCCCCTCTATCGGCAGGGGTAGCAGGGACACAGACCACTGCAGGCGGCACCAGCGGGGAGAAGAGACTGCTGTGACTGCATTTCCCCGCTTCTGTGTACTCCATTAAAGGGAGACCTCTCTGTTTAGAGCTCCCCTATCAGAACCAGTGAGGGGTGTGTCAGTCAGTTTTGCGCAAACTGGGTTTGCGCCAAGCCCCTGCACATCACTAGTCCTATTCATTGCTGGTGCCTGCGCACATTCATTACAGTAACCAAAAGCAGAGCAAACACCTGCACCATCATGTGACTTATCACGAAATCCCCAAAATTTTCTAGCATATGCAATTTTCCAAGCATATGAAATAACATTATATAAAATGACATAGAATGTGTGAAGAGTAGGAGCACCACAAATAAATTACATATAGGATTTGCTTAACTTAAAAGGTCAATAAACTGGAGGCAATGTGTTTTGAGGGAGCTCCTCAGGGATTTAACTGGCAGAGATGAGTATACTGGGCAGTATTAGAATGCCAGTGCGGGCACCAGAGCGACATTCTAATCTTTCAATTTGTTTTCCTCATACTGTCCAGTATTCCCATCTAGGGATGCATCGATACCGTTTTTTCAGGACTTGCTGATACCAAATACCGAAAGTCCCATTAAGGAAGCTGGGCGGTGTGTAATGACTCGCCGCCCGGCTTCCTGATTAGCCTGGAAGCCGTCTCCGTGCTCGTCACCAGGTGGCAAGGTAGCATGGAGCCAACTTTCTGGCAAATCAGGAAGCTGGGGGACGGGTAATGACTCGCCGCCTGGCTTCCCGATTAGCCAGCTTCACAACCAATCAGGAAGTCATTACATGCCCCCTGGCTTCCTGATTGGCCGGAAGCCAGCTCCATGGCCAATCAGGAAGTTGGGCAGCGTGTAATAACTCACCGCTCGGCTTCCTGATACCAGAAGTTCCGGTATCAGGATAGTATTTGCCCATACCAGTGCCGCTACTAGTAATGGTGCCGATACCGAGTATCAGTATATCCCTATTCCCATCCATCACAGTCATTTAGAACCCTATGAAATCCCCTTCTCCCCAGCTGTGATCCTCCGAAACACATTGGTTACTATTTATTGACCTTTTATAAAGATTCATGTAGCATCAAAGCCAAAACTTTAATTTTACCTTAAGAGAGGGTTATAATTCCTGTCTGGTTTTTGTTTTGGTAATCCCATTGGGGAGATTTATCTTCACTTCCTCTCTGATTGCTACAACAGGAGGTGAGAGAAATTCATCCAAAGTGAGGGTAATCCCTGGTGGTCAGCAGGGTCATCACAACTAGTGTCCCCATTGGAAGATATATCCCATCTATTCCTGTACCACATGTACTATTGGGATCAGCACTCCACCAATGGCTACCTTATATAAAATTACAAGGGATATTTCTAAAGGGCTACCTAGCTGATTTGATCACTCGGAATGAATGATTGCAGCTTTATGCAGCGAATGGCATTGCCATTTAATGAATTAGATTGCATACAAACTGCATTTGCAAGACAACCAATGCACTGGCCCAACGGAGCATGAAGTAAGGAAGCAGGTCACAATGAGGAGGAAATGCACCCCCCTTTATTTACCTTACAAGCCGAGAACACTCCGAGCTTCTCTAGCTTCTTGGCCCGGGGAAGGGCCCTAACTTGAGCTTTCCTTTGGCTGGCTCTCTGCTGCTGGCTTAGCCCGGGCCTAGCTGGGTCACTGCTGCCTGAGCTGCTTCCCGCCGCCGTGGTGGTCGCGCTCTGCCCGCTGGCTGGAGACTGCAGACTGCTCCGGGACTGCGTGGCCTGCACCAGCTCAGCCATAGCAACGATGTACGCCGCGCCGTCTATCAATAAAGCTGCCCGGTTCAATAGAGCGCGAGTTCTGACACCGCGCATGTGCGAGCAGAAAGGGATGCTGGGAAATGTAGTCAAACTAAAAGGGTCGGCTTCAGAGATTATGATCACAGTGTGGAGAATTTTGCGCTGGGAATAAAGGTTAGAACTCACGAAGAATATGCGCGAGTCAGTCTGCCAAAATATTACATTCATATTTTCTCCTATATCATTTATCATTCTTAGTATTTCCAATGTAAGCCTGTATTTCCAATGCAAAAAAAACACCACTGTGACTATTTACTAACACTAGCGTTTACACATAGGCGTTTGGAATTCAGCGCGTTTAAACCCAGAATTTTTAATAGATGTGCGTTTTCGCGCACGTTTGCGGCTACACTATAGTCTGCTGGGGACAGAACACTGAAATCTACCAAGAAATCACGCATTCACTTTTTCCCGCATTGCGTATTTTTAGGAATGCATTCCTTTTTATGTTTTGCATGTTTACTGCGCACATAAAAACGCCTAGGTGTGATGGACATGATGTGGTCTAAAATAATTTTAAATAAGGGATAAACATATTACTGAAGAAGCTATGCAATCAACAGGCAAGCAGAGGGAAAGGTCTAGTCACCAGTATCACTTGTAGGACCACTGCAGCTGATCTTTCCTTATTACTAACCTACCATGCTTTGTTCTGCAATGTGTCTCTTTGTGGAAGTGGCCATCTTGGTAGTAAAGCAGGGCTTTGATTCCTGATGTCAGAGCTGCACCCTTATAACTGGTGATATATATGCTGTGGGGTAATAATCAGCAAACAGTGGGTGAGGTGGGAGAAACACAGGTCAACACAATTAATGAAGCAGATGCAAGGGGTACCTTGCTCTGCAGGCTCTCAGGTAACGCTTCCTTTCCAGCATGGAGAACATTGAGCAGCACAGTACAATGGGTTGATGAAAAGTTCCCAGCCCAACCCACTTCACAAAAGCTAAAGATCATTTGGTTATTACTAAAATATAACTGCTGGATAAACCAAACCCTAAGGCCTCATTCACACGAGAAAAGACCGGCACGTAAAGCTCCGCGCTGCGTGCACGGCCGTATCGGGCAGCTCCCGGGAAGGACAGATGCTGAGTGTGATTAGTATGCAGCCCCTGTCCTTCTCTATGGGAGTATGCGGCCATACGCCATCCTACACTCACCTCAAGTGCAGGTCCGTACGGGTTCGGGTGTCCTGGCTCAGGCGCAGACAGGATCCATCCTGTCAGCGTACGAGTACGCTCAAGCGCACCTGCAGGGCGGGTGAGCGTAGGGCGGCGTACGGCCGCATACTCCCATAGAGAAGGACGGGGGCTGCACCTGTCCTTCCCGGGACCTGCCCGATACGGCCGGAGCTTTTCTCGTGTGAATGAGGCCTTAAATAAGCTGCTGTGTAGCCTTTAGCTAAAAGTGCTCATGGTAACACATTAAACATAAAAAAAAACACCACAGCGCTCTACCTCTCCACATGTAACAACACTAAACAGTGCAAAAACTTAATCACACATACATAAATATGTATGCGTATACAAATTGTGACAGAATATGTGAATAACTTTGGAAAATCAGCAAAAGTAAAAATAGTAATAAATCTCAAACTCACAATCCTTAGAGTGCTCATGTGCATATTCATATATTACTGTTTATAGGTTCTGTTAATACAAAAAAGGAAAACTCTCATAAAGTGCTCCAGTGAATGTCTATGTATTTCATCTTCAGAGTGTCCAGATATTCACACCATCGCGCTCCTCTCCCTGTCCGAAAAACTCCCCAGATAAGATGCGACCTAGTGTAGATATACTCAGGTCATAAAGTGTCTTTATTAAACCTTTTAATAGGTAATCTCCGCCATTTTGTCATAGAGTCTCCAAGTATATAATAGAAGCCCAACTTCTTTCTATGTAACACTTAAACCATTTTTATCCAGATAAGTGTGAAAACAATTCAGAGACTTCCCCAGATATGCTCCAGTATTAATAAAATACTTGATGGTCCATCATACAAACAAAAAACACAGGAAGGTAATCATAGGGTGAAAACTGGGGATGCACCGATACCAGTATCGGTATGGGTGCCGATATCGGGCATTTTTACGAGCACTCGTACTTGTGGAGATGCCCCAATGCTAAGAGCCGATACCGGCCCTTTAAATATTTTAATGGATTCGGCTGCCATAAACACCCAGTCATCAAGTGGTTAAAGTTTAGAAAAAAAGACTTGAATGTGTTGGTTAGTGTTAGGCCCTAACACTAAACACATCTAAAACAGATTGTACCAATGACATTGTACAAATAATAATAAGTGTGGCAAGTGATAAAAGGAAAAAGTGATTAAAACCACCAGCATCTGATGAAGCTGCTATGCAGGAGGAATAACTGTTGAATAGTTTAGCAGTAAATAATGAATGTAAACAGATTTTAGCACATTGCATTCCAAACGTTTTATTTGTTTTGAATGTCATCTAGTAAGTTAAAAATTCTTACATCTTTATAAAAGTCATAATATCTTTGATAGACAAAATTCTTAGATGTGTTCATAAATATTTATCAAAATACATTCAGTAAATTAGGATCTTGAATCTTTGTTGCACTCGGAGCTCTGGACCTTGGGCCGAGATGCTGCTGGAAGCTGTATGGGCACAGTCCTTTCCTGCATGCTTGGTAGAGGTGCACGGAAAGCTTGTATCTGCAGGTGCCCATCAGTGGTTACGGTACAGCTGATATCTTCAGCTTTCACATCCTGTGGGAGATCTGCTTCTTTCCTGAAGATCTGACACTTATAGGAGAAGGATCCTTTCCCATCATCCATCTTGGATTCCTTGGCCCCACTTACCAACAGTTTATATCCTAGCAGTTTGACTGTCAGCTCTTTGGGGGAGAAGTCTTGAATGTCCAAGCTTAGGATGTAGTCATCTTTGATGGTCTTTGCGTCACTGCTGCTTGCTACAGATAGAGTCTTGTTCTCTTTAAGCATGCTTTCTTGCAGCAGCTGATGATGAAACAGTTCCATGAGCTTCATACTGGCTCTAATCTCTCCTACGGTGTGGATCATATCTTGCTCCAGGCTGCTGAATATGTCTCTGCGTAGGGGCCACAGTGGCCTGAGGAAGGGAACAAGAGGGCTTGGGGAGCCACTCCTAGCCAGCTGGAGGCTCAGCATAATGTCTTGGAACTTCTTTGCAAGAGATGTTAATCTATTATAGCTTCTAGTGTGATGTGGGGGCTTATAGTCCCAGGAACGCTTTTATACTTATTGCCTAAACTTCCAGATTTTTCTTGGGTTCCAGAGCCCTGGCCAACATGACACACTTATTAGTCAATGTCCTCATCATATTTCTGTGAGTGCTTGTGACTCAGACACACAGCCTTCAGTCTCTCAATAACAGGCTAAAAACAGCTCATTGAACTAGTATCTCTGTACCCAAAATAACACAGTGACTTAATGCATTGCAATGCTATGTATTGTCACTCAATAGCTGCTAAAAGAAGCATCGCTGAGTGGCGTCAAAAAGACGGCAGAGATTTAACTTCTTTTTCCACAACTGACTCTCCCTATTGTTAAAAATATTAGGTTATATATACATATTGGGCACATGTATATACTGTTCAGAGTACATCATGTACATTCTTCACGAACTCATACATTGATTACAGAAATACAGTCACTTCTCTGGCTTAATTAACAAGGCAGTACAAAGAGTAATAATACAGAGACGTAACCCGTAGCGACTTATTGAATATCAGTTTTCACCAGTTTAAAGCCAAATAAAAACAAAACATAAAGCTGACTGATTATTGGTTGAGTTTCTACATTACAGTTCACCAAAGACAACTGTTTTATAGGTGCTGCCCAGCAGACTCACCTTAGAAGACCTCTGCATATAAAGGAACTCTCAGGGGACTCAAGTTGTCAGCTACATATCTGTCTTTAGGCAATAAATCTGAGGGTCTCTAGTTTTAATATCCTGCTTTTACTTCTTTTTCAATTATTTCCATCATCATTTTAATCCATTGAGACATTCATATTTTTATTTTATCTATATGAATAATTTATACATTCAAAGCAGTTGTGCTCCTGAACACTCTCAGTATTCGAGATTGGATTTCTACAGCAACACTGTTGTGTGATGAGATCAGTGGATGGATATGGGGACAATACATTGGCCACTAATGCTCTCGAGGGAGGGAAGACAATACATTGACCACTAATGCTTTGAAAGGAAGGGGGACATATATATTCAGAAGCTTTTACTATCGTGGCTACTTGGCCATGGAATGGAAGTGTGGCCTAAATATTTGAAAAAGATTTCTGTCCTCCTCACAGGGTGTCTTTCTTTGAAAGGTAAATGACTGGAGGAGGCTGAGTAGTGCAACGTTTCTCAACATTTTTTCAGTCATGGCACCCTTTAAAAATATGCAAAATCCTGAGGCAACCATTTCTATAATGTAAAAAACATAAATATAAAAAAATGGTGCGTGGCCCCTCATAAATCCATGCCAGATCCTTATGCCATATAGGGGTCTGGTGGGGATTTTTAAGGGGGGACCCCATGCAAAACCACACAAAAATGGGGTGTCCTCTTCACATCAGAGGTCTCCTTTATATCAGGAGCCCCCTTTACACTAGGAGCCCCCTCCTTTCACATCACACATCACAAACTCCCTTCACATCAGAAGCCCTCTTCACATACGATGCCCCCTTTCACACCAGGAACCCCTCTTCCAAATCAGAAGATTCCCTACCCCCACCTTTACATCAGAGATACGGACATTCAGTAACAGGGACAGGAGGAATGTCAATGGGCTAAAATGACGCCATTGCACCTGATTTCCATTGAGAACTATAAATCCCTCTGCCATGGGTTTGATTCATATGTGTGTGTTTGTGTGTGTATATGTGTGTGTGTGTGTGTGGGG